GTAATAAGGAAATCCACTGGAATCAGCTTTTGTAATGAAGTTTTTTGTGAAATATTTTATGACCTTAAAAGACCCCTATTGATTTTGAGATCAAAATATTAATGATTTAACACACACAAACATAAAATCTTGGATAGTTCTCACCCCCCCCCCCCCCCATATTGGTGCTTTGCCTTAAATAATTTCATAAGTACAGTATATAAACAAATTCATATGACTACATCATAATTTTGTTTCCATCAATTATAATAAATGTGTAAATTGTCATGTATTGGACATGGACTTACACTCATTAGCAAATCACTAAGGAATTTAAATAACAGTTTGTCAGCATAACTCCTGCACTGGATTCCCTGAAACTTTGTAGATATTTCAGACATAATGTATAGATTTGTATGTTACCAAGAAATTTTGATTCCATTATTTATCTAGAAACTTCAGCCCAATTAAATTTGTAACATACAAAGATTTGAATGTCCTTATATGCAAGAAGTTTTGATATGATGATTTTTTGCAAGTAATGCCCCTTTTTGAATTATACTGTGTATTTAAAATGCACTGTGCCATTCATTACATGTTGCATTGTCGAGTTTTTGGGGAGCGTGGGGTATGTGAGCTTGCTTACTTTTTCTTTCATATGTAAAGGAAAAGTGTTTGTGATGTCAAATTGTACATTCTTATTATTAGCTTATTTTTTAATTAAATTTAGGTCAACTTCGAGCGTTAGAGTTGGTTCAAAATATAACGAATGGAGAGAGCCAGTTTTTGAAATTGGACTTGGAGACGTAGGCATCAGTGAATACTTCACAGAAAAAGGTCTGCATGTAAATCACACTGATTGGCGGGATAGCTGTAGTATTATGGGAAATGTTATCAGAGTCATAGCACGTGAAATGAAAAAAGCAGCCAACATCTATTTTCCAGGACTTGTTTTAGACGACACGTTTATAAAGCAAGGTAGCTCAAGAGAGGGTTTAAAGGTATGTGACCCATTGGAATTTGATTTTATTTTGCCATTTCGCATTGAAGGTTTAAGGACTCAGAGAGAGAATGTTTTTGATTGTTATGGTAATGTACTACCTGGCCTTTTCAAAGAGAAAATCATCAATGATTATGATGCTCCACCATGGATGAGAAAACATAGTCTACTTGAGGATGACTTTGGGGGAAAATATATTAACACGAATAACCTTCAGAAGAAAGTTTTCACATCTCTTTTGGACCAATCAAGGGACGAAATTAACAAACAGTTGCAGAGAATTTCAACTGGGAATGAAAGTTACCGACTTGTTCGTAGTGTATACGCCCCTAACTTAAAAATTACAATAAAGGTACAGAGTGAACGTGGATTGAAAGGATTAGCTAAAATAAAACTTGAATCATTTCAAGGTTTATGGATTATAGAGTTAGAAGCTGACCTGGTTCCCGCTCTTTGCCTGTCGTCTGACACAGTACCGGATCCATACACTGTCCATGATTTTCATCTGTGCTTCCAGCATCATCCAACATCCTATAGACAGATGCCCTGTGAAAGATACGGAGTCATGAAATGGATCAATGAAAGTAACGATTCCATTCCATTAGACCCATTGCAAAGTAGAGAAGTACTATGGAGAATTTCAACTTGTGGATATGAAAAGCACATTTTAGATGTAGCTCGCAGAAACCAAAGCCAGCGGTACATTTTGACTGCCTGTAGGCTACTGAAGGGTGCTTTATACAATTTCAATCGCAAATCACGTGGCGACTCTCAGCTAGATAGTGTAATAAAATCCTACCATCTTAAAAATATTTGTTTATACTGCATCCTATTCCTGACGATACCAAGCAAAGAAAATAAACTTAGTGGAGTTAGAGAGGCGTTGGGATACTTCATTAAATATCTTCAACTTAGTCTTAAAGCAGAATTCCTACCACATTTCTTTTATGGAAATCCCCACATTGTACTGATGTTTCCTGAGAGTTCATTCGAAAAAAAGAAGTATGACCTCTTTTCATTCAAAGATCCGGAGACTTTGCGCCAAGCACGACTGATTTTGCCAAAGTTCTTGCAGACATTGAGAGGTCTTTACTACGAAGGGTGTATGTTGGATTTTGATAAAGTCAAGTTATTCGAAGATATGTTGGAAACACATGATTAACGTTACATATAGTTTTTGTAAATTTGCGCCAATTCACGATTCAAATGCTTTATGATATATGTCTATGAACCAGGCTGTTTTTTATTTGCCATGCTGCTATTTTTATGGAGAAAGAGTAATCTGCGATCTGGTCTAAAATTTTATAAATTGAAATCTAAAGTTTATTACTCAATTTGTAAGTAATGCAAGCATTTTTAACATTTGTACAGTCCAGGATAAATAAACTGAACACTTTGTTTGCTGAAGTAAACAACAGTGATTTCCGTTCATTAAATTCTTCAACATCTTTAATTTTTTTTTCTGGGGATAAATGCCACGTACCCTATGTTGCGAATGAAATAAACAAGCTCATTATTTATACAGTCATTCTCATTTATATGACTCCAAATTGAAATATCACTGTCGCTTGTGTTTAGATTGTTCTGAAATATCACTGTCGCTTTTCTTATTGCATTCTAATGCAAAGCATCGAAAATAATTTTTAAAAATCAAGAATTTGTGCATTTATATACCATAAGTACGCTAATTAAGTTTTAGTAGCTTAACTCAACAAAAAGGGGTGAAAGGAGGAATAAAAAGAACACGTGTTAAAGAAAACCATTAAATACTATTACATGTAACGAAAAAAATATGCTTTGATTTTTGTTAACAAACTTTACCCAGCTGCCTCAATGGTAAAACTTTTATGGTCGATTCCATGAACTTGTCAGTAAATACAACCTATCATTAAGTCAAATATTTAAAATTGCAAACAAGGGAAACTGCCCCGATCAAAACTATATGAAATTTATCAGGGGCTCCACGGCCACGAGTGAACTCAAGATCCATGACGTTGTGATGATGTGGAGTAATAGTTGATCAACGAATTACATGTATAACTTAGGATAGGATGAGGTAGCTTTACATAATTTATTAATATATATCAACGGAATTATGTTTGATGTTGCCAGAATCATTAAAGATCCTACGAGAAATAACATCATCACAGTACTAATTTAAAACATACTTAATTTTTGACATCTTAGACAGCTGCTTGTTCAATAGACAGCTTCATTATTTTTATTTTATCGTGGGGAATGGTTGTTTAAAGTGTTCAAAAGTTGTATGGCCGTAGGAACCGGGGGGGTATGCCCCCCCCCAATAATTTTGCAAATATTTAGAATACTATAGAGTTAATAGGTAGTATACGCTTGTGACCCCTCAATAATAACGTCTGATGACCTATGTTTTTGCTTGTCAAGGATTTTTTGGTAGTTGATAGTGCACCCCCCCCCAACTGAAAATGTATTGTTGTGCCCCCCCCCCCAAAACTGAAATTGCTTCCTACGGGCCTGGTTTTGCTGATTTTGTTAAAATTTTGTGATTTAAAATTTCTTAAGGTTCCTTGGATCTATTACATGTTTAACATAGGGTATTTTGCATTTACCTCCAGGAAAAATGTTCAAAGACAATGAAGTACTGATGAACAGAAATCATTGTTATTTACTTAGGGGGCAAAATACCTGCAAAATTAATGAAGTGTTCAATCTCTTCATCTTTGGCTATTAAAATGCTATGAATGCTTGATTTGTTCAAAAATTAAGAATGAAACTGTACATTTCAATTTATTTTTTACTAGATCAAGGGGCAGATAACTCTATCTGCATTAAAAACCTCACAAAATCAGAACTAGGAAGGAGGACATATAAAAAATGTAACTCTTCCCGTATATTTTGTGTTTGTGTGTATGCTTTCTCTTTCTGCACGTAATTTAGGTAACGTGTGTATACATTTGTACAATAAAGATGAAAAGAAGAATTCCATCAATGATAATCATTCTTAGAGATCGTTAAGGATAAATTGTTTCAAATACTCGATTTACTTATTCTCTCTTTCTATAGAATCTCTTAACATTAAATTCAACTAGAGGACTCTTATCGTCTTACGTTAATTTCTTAGTTACCACTAAATACACAAATCAAACCGAAAATATGACACGTAACCAAATATCGACAAAACTAAAATAAAACAATCAATGAACCAAATATGGCGGAATATTTTGTAAACGGTAAGGAGGTTTTAAAGTAAAGAAATTTCTTAAATTAATGGAAATAACTGACGAAAACTTGAATGAATACATATATTTATTTACTGTCGTTTTAAAACAAAATACGCGTAAAATATGTAGTAGGTGTTTTACTTTTCAAATCAGGCGCAATATGAATGACTATAGTATCGTTGAATGAATCATCCATTTGATCGAGTGAAGGTAAAAGATATAAGTAAGCAAATTTTATTGTTATACTGTTACATATACTTTTAACGACCATCAAAAGCTTACTAGGTTTATTCCATGTAGAAAATAGCGGTACAGCATTTTAAATTTAACCTCTTTTTTAGTCCTTAAAACAGTCATTCTACAAAAACATGGCCAATTAAGATTTTTGTGTCGCTTACAAATTTACCGTTGTAATATCTTAACTATAAATTTAAAGATCGATTTCAACTCTAAGACTTAACATACACACATGGTTTTGTAATTATTTACCTACATATATGCAGTTAAAGTTTTGATATGAACATAATGTAATGTTGAAAAACGTATCCACTGCAAATCTTAATGTCGCTTCATTTATTTACAAATTTCAAGATGGAATTTTCAGCCATAAAAGCTTTCCGAATAGATTGCAATGAATGTTAAAAAAAAGTTTTTTATCCTAGTATGTAAAAAGAAATCAAAACACTTCTCGCAAAGAAATACATGGATCTTCTTTCATGCGAAATCATAAGCATGTCGCTAAAAATCGATTAACTTCCGTAACGATTTTGTTTTGAATTTCACGCACAGAATGCAGATTTCAAAAAGAACTGAAACTTATCTGAAAGTGCCCACGGAACCTAATATCATCGATTCTAGTTGCGAATCAGCTACTTTAGACGATTACATTTTCGACATAACAAAATGAATTAGACAAACACAGTTACCTCTCTTAGAAATTTAACTTCCGTAACGGTAATTCTGGAAAGTTTTTGAATTAAAAATATATTCTTTTTTTTTATTATTTTGGGAGCAAAATGCTTCATACTTTTGTTTAATATCCTCAAACAAACTTTGATTTTAACTATTGCCGAGAATTGTAACTTTTATTGCTGGGAATTAACTTCCGTAACGATAATTTTTCCCAAATTTTAACTTAATTTCAGATTCATGCGATACTTCATCAATCACACTGTAGCCTTCTATACTGAACATCAGAAACAAAAAAATTGATCAAATTAGGCTTTATTTAAAAAATAGTAAGACTTTATCAAGCATTAACTTCCGTAACATTACCTTAAAACCAATGGTATATTGAAATTGTTGTAAAACGTTAACGATACCAGATTTGTGGACAATTTTTTTTCAAGGTCTCTGATATGTCCTTTAGAGAATTATGATGTTCATTTTGCTATTCTAAACAATGATTTTTTTCATGTTTTATACCCTGAATTGGTCCATTTATCGTAGAATGACTGAATAGATAATCTATAACAGGCATGGTTAAGTATGGTTGGATCATTAAAAAATTATTTTCAAGAATCACTAAAGGCCTAAAAAGATGAGACTTGCTGGTATGTGACAGCTTCCTGACGTAGTAATGATAAACATTCTAATTTGATCAAATCATGGGGATAGGGTAGGGTCATAACAGGGAATCAATGCAAGTGTACAGAGAAACAAGCTAATTCAGAGAATTTGTGTCCCCCGCTTAAGGGAAAAAAGAAGAGCATGCGCAGATGGGGGGGGGGGGGGGGGGTCGGACCCCCCAGGATTTGCAGAGTTATTGAATGTATATATTGAAGCAAATACAAAAATGCCAATATGGATATATAGATTGATTGCTTATTCTACAGAAAATTTGTACAGAAGATTCTTTTTATATAGAATATTTATCACACTGTAATAATGATTTTATGAGAAGGTTTGTATACGCCAGATGTCATAACCCCCCACACCACCCCCCAAAAAAAAAACAAAACAAACAAAACAAAACAAAAAAAACAAAAAAAAAAACCCACGTGATTGTCCGAGATTTGGCCAGACATGAAAAAGAAGACCTTGACACTTTGTCAGAATGGATTAAATGTTTCAGATGTATGTTAAAATCGCGCATTAAAAGATTGAGGGGCAATATGAGAACCATCTATCCTTCCGTATTCAATAATCCAGAAGTGAAAAAAGAATTAGATAGATTACATGATCAGTACGTACTGGTCCCTGCTGACAAAGCAGGTAACAACATTGTCTTTGTTTGTAAGGCTCACAATATTAAATGTATTTTAGAGGAACTTGGATTTAATTCTACAAGTGGTAATCCAACTTATACTCATAGTTCCCTTTCTAGGGACGAAATTCTTCAAAATCATATGCCAGTTCTGAATATTTTAAATATTCCAAACAACCAAAATGAATTTGAATTACCATATCTATATTGGATTCCAAAACTTCATAAAAATCCTTGCAAACAAAGATACATAGCGGGTTCCAGTAAATGTTCAACCAAGCCTCTTTCTTTACTCCTCACTAAGATATTAACAATAGTGAAGGAGAAACTTCAAGAGTACTTTGCAACAATATATTCGAGAAGTGGTGTAAATCAGATGTGGATACTTAAAAATTCCAAGGAACTTTTGGAAAATTTGAAATCACAAGATTTTATCAAAATCAACAGCTTAAAACCTTACGACTTTTCAATTTTACACACAACCATTCCCCGCCATAAATTAAAGTCCAGGCTTTTTTATATCATGGACAGCTGCTTTTCAATAAAAATGGAACTCGTAAATTTACTTACCTTGTCATTGGTCATTTGCTAATTAAAATTATTTTGTTAAAAAACATTCTGATTGTACACACAAGTACTCTGAAGTTGACATTAAAAAGATGCTTGAGTTGCTGATTGACAATATCTATGTGGTTTTTGGAGACCAGGTCTTCCAACTATCTATTGGAATTCCCATGGGTACCAATTGCGCCCCGTTATTAGCAGACCTTTTTTGTATTCATATGAAGCAGAATTTGTCCAAAATATATCTTATACATGTACGTGAAAAGAAGAAAACACTTGCTGTGGTCTTCAACTCGACATTTAATTAGATATATCGACCACGTATTGTCAATTAACAATGGTTATTTCCATTCTTATGTCGATACGATATATCCCGGTGAGCTTGAGATGAAAGATACCACAGAGTCTGACACATCTTTTTCATATTTGGATATTTTACTTGAAAAAGACGTTAATGGTAATCTAACATCTAAGCTTTATGATAAACGTAATGACTTTAACTTTTCAATCGTCAACTTCCCTTACTTATGCAGCAATATATCTTCATCACC